GGGGGGGATGGAAAGGACACATACATCTCGGACAAAGCAGAGAGGTCACGAAGAGTGACGGACTTTCAGGTTCCAGAGTGTTCGAAGAGTAAGTTGGAGAATAAGATCACTCTTTACCCCATTTTGTTGACAGCGCTTCGAAGACCAATAAAAACACATATCTCTTTCTACTACCAGAACTTGTGTTAAAACTATTTCAGTTTCCGACTTCACATTCATATTTGTGTACCTGCATCCACCTAAAGGGGACAAAAATCATCGACAGTTACAAAAAACAAAACAAAACAAAATCCCCACATTAATATCAATAAAACAAGAGCCTAAGTGCGTATCTCAATACAGTATTCGATAGTGAACACTGCAGCATAGGACGCAAAACGGTGTAAAACTCGGCTGAAAGTGATTTGGAGGTGGCCGTATTTACTATCGAGGAGTATTGTCGGTTGAGAAAGTGTCCCTTCAAACTCACAAATCTGGACGTGCCGACAGCAAGAAAAAATATATGGAGCTTGGCAAAATGACGGTACGGGACTAAGATCACTTGCATAATTCCATGTCCGAAATGGACGATGTCGGAGAGCACAGAACTAACACAAAAAAAATCCCGTAAAGCAAGTTTCTCGGCCCCTATCTATGAAGACATTGAAAAGAAAAAAAGCTTTTTCAGACAGTATGGCTGTTTCCAAAGTGACAGTACCCAGCCAACAGAACACAAAACAACTGTTTTTAAAATACCCGATTGGGGATTCGAAACAGGGACCTCTGCTCCACAATCGTGCACGAGGCGAATTGAGACAACAGCCCACTCGCACGCCGTCAAATTTATGGAAACAAACCACAGTAATGATATATGTTGCAGAAACAAAATCACTAAACATCTTTTTTCGTTCCTCCAGAAAGGTTGAAAAAAACAAAATGGATACAGAATGGAATAAGCCGACACGCACTCACAAGCAGCGGTTCTTGTGAGATGAGAAAACCTGTTACAATCCTAGTGTGTGTGTGCCGAGGGCATCTCGTTCGCCATGATAGACCACGTCTCCGTGGAGTATCTAAGGAAATAACATAATTATTATGTCAGATTGACAAATGTGCTGATCTTGGCGGGCTCAAGGCATCGTAGACGACAGATCAGTAAACAGGGCGGAGCATATGGCGAGTTTTATCACACATCGTCTGGCAGATACACGCATCCGGTTGACTGAGAAGTTCGTGATACGTGCGCGTGATTGCATAAGCGAGTACGCAGTGTGTGTGTGTGTGTGTGTGTGTGTGTGTGTG